CTGTGTGCTCAGCTGAGTCACCAGCTGAAACTTTGAGTGATGGTAAGGTCATTGCAGTGTGTGTGTCCCAGGGCAGTCCTTGAGAGGCCCTTGCAGGCCTCAGGTTTAGCTGTCTCATTCTCATGAATGGGGAGCAGCCCCTGGAGGTCTGTCCTAGGGGCCTCTGAATAGGACTGACCCAGGCTTTGCTCAGATCATACCTGTCCCCCACCTGCCTTTTCTCTCCTAGGAGTACAGACTGCATGAATGTATTATCTCAATTTTCTTGCTTGTAGCCAGAATGAGGGCTTTTGAGTTCAGCAGACACATGGCTCTGTTACACGACAGGGTTGGGGGCAGGCTGCCCCAGGAAGGAGGTGGAGCTTGGAGCTCCTCTCAGGGATACTATGATGGTAAAACAGGTGAGGACCCTTGTGGTTTATGTCATGGGGAAATTCCAGAAACTGCCCTAAGCCATTCCCTTTCTGTGTGGCTTGTGACAACTCATAGGTAAAATGGAAGTGTGATGTTCAAGTTGTAAAAGTTGTGTTTCTTCCCTTTCTGGTTTTTATTGACATTTCTTCAGTTATGTCATCAGTTCAAAACTTTGCATTCCTCTTCTGGGATGTTAGTGCAGATGCTGGAGGGAACAGACACAGGCTCAGATAGAATCCATCCCTGCCCTTCTTGCTCTAGATAACTTTGGTTTAATTATTGAACCTCCCTTACTTATTGATTTCATCAGTAAAGTGCATAATATACCCTCAAATTGACAAAGTTTGTATGTATCTATAACACCCAGATGGGTACCTGGCTCAGCATACACTCAACAGATGTGTGTAAGCCAGGATTTGAATGTCTATTGTGTGCCAGGCATTGTCTGTGGATTCAACAGGGAACTGAGCTCCTGCTTTTCTCCTGAGGTCTGCATTCTAGTAGGTACCAATGCTGAGCCCCACTCCCCTGCTCACTGTCTCATATGGGCATAAGTGAAAGCAGGTTAGGGTGGAGACTGGGGATGGCTATCTCCAGGGAGGTCCCTGGTGACAACTGAGGAGGGACTTGAGCCATGTTGGTGTCCTAGGTGATGAGAGAGCTCTGGGCTGCATCCTTTCTGCATGTACTCCAGGATGTTGAGGCAGGCTAGTGGCTACGACAGATCTCTGAGCACCACCGTCCAGCATCTCTCCTCCTTTTGCAGGGTTTAACTCCCTCGTGGGTGGTGTGATGGGCTTCTCCATTCTTCTGAGTGCGGAGGTGTTCAAGCACAATGCGTCGGTCTGGTACCTGGATGGCAGCATAGGCGTGCTGATCGGCCTCACCATATTTGCCTACGGGGTCAAGTATGTTTTTCCTTTCATATTTGTTTTCCTGGTGGCCAGGAAGAGAGCCACTCTTGCCACCTGCTTCCCTAGTCAGAAAATGATAGCTCAGGCTTCTCCTGATCCTGAACTGTCAAGTGGTCGGAAAAGCCCCTTCCAGGGGTCAGTTCTCCTAGGGGTTGGCACAGGAGGCAAAGATCCCAACAAGAGTATTAAAGTGTTTGAACCACAAAAGGTCTCCTTTACTTTTGTCTGATGTCTTTATGGTCCATCAACTAATCTTCCCTTTAGCCCTTCATGACTTGGAAATACAGACTTTCTTTCTCTATAATGCTGGTCTTCAGGATGCCCAGGCTAGCATCTTGGGGTGGCTTCCTTACCCATGCAGCCTCCTGCCACCCATGGGTAATGCTCTAAATGAGTTGGGAGAGGCCAGGTAGCACCATTGGGCCAGAGGCTGGGCTGTAGATTTGGAGAAACCTTTGTAAAAAGGGATGGTCAGTGCATGCTGAGGAAAAACCCACATGGAGGGCACTCACTGAAGACGTGGCACACTGGCATGGCCAACTCTGGATCCAGCATCTGTTTCTGAAAGGCACTATGCTTTTAAATGTTAAAACCCTTCCCAGCTCCCACTAGGACCTCTATACTCAAAACCAGGAGCAGTTACAAGTGTTGGTGAGGACGTGGGGGGGGGGATGGGAACATGTATGGTGAGCCTGCTTTGAAGAGTAATTTGGCAGTTCCTCAAAATGTTAAACATGGAGCTGTCCCTCAACCCCGAAATTCTGCTCCTTGGGGTGTGCTCTGGAGGACTGAAGCCAAATCCATGCCAGAACTTGTACCCAAATGTTCATGGCAGTGTTTTTCATAATGGGCACAAGTAGAAACCACCCTTTACCTGAAGAATAAATACAGGGGGCTATTATTTATCCCTAAAAGGGAATGGAGAACTGGTACACAGTATGACTTAGATGAACTTTAAACATTATACCAAATGAAAGAAGCCAGATAAAGGTGGCTATATACTGTATGATGATTTCTTTGGATTTGCCTACTCTGGATATTTCAGGCCGAAGTGGAGTATTGTTTGCTAATGGGGTGAAGGACTGCTAGTGGGAATGGTTTTCTTTTTGGGATAAAAACATTCTGGAATTAAGGTAATGGGGATGATTACACAAATTCATGGACATATTAGAAACCACTGACTGGACGCCTATGGTACATGAATGACCTCAGAAAATGAGTCTCTTCTGTGCTTCCCCAAACTGCAGTGGGCCCAGTGTTGCGGTGACGGTGGGTGTCTTCCTCTTTGCAGGCTTCTCATCGACATGGTGCCAAGGGTGAGGCAGACGCGTCACTATGAGATGTTTGAGTGAAGGTGGCCCTGGGGACCAGGGAGGACTGCTCCGCATGAAGACCGTCAGGACGACGAAAAGTTTCCACGTAGGCAGACGGTGCCAATATTTAACTGAACATCAGTTTCTTTTTTTGGAAAGTCTTCTTTCATACAGTTTGTCATCACAGGACAAGGTCTGCCTGCCCAGTGGGTGCATCTGTCCTGTACCCTCACTCCGCTGCCCCCCATCACACACTTAGGACAATGCCTGCAGGAGGGGACCCACTTCCCCATCTCAAGCCGGAACTGACATTTTCTGTTTTCTGGAGTAAAACAGTTCTTGGGGTAGGATAAGATCTCTGCTTGGCAGAAAGCCCAACTGTGGTGCTCTAAGCCTGAAACAGATAGCGAGCAGGTCCCTCTCCTCTGGACTGTGTGTGGCCCCAGCCACCTCCTAGTTCTAAGGATTCTTCTCTCCTGGCAGATTTTAAGGGAAGACTGGGCCCTTTAGTCCCTCATCCTCTTACATAACCAGAACCATCAGTGTATCACTAATTTCTATCAGTGTGTTTCATTAGTTTCATACTGTTTTACTAATCCTAAATCTAAACAGATTTGTTCTAAAGAAGACCATTCTATTTTTTAAAGTACTTAGTGACATATGTATGAGCTTTGCATGGACGAGCTAAATAAGCACATGACCCTTTCTCATACACTCAGAACCTGCACATCCATGTAAAAACAGGATCCATTTTTGAGATGTGAAACTAGTTTATTTGTAATAAATAATTATATAATCTATCCATATATGCATATATCTATATGCTGTGTCAAATGGTAATGATACATTACAGTCTGTGAGAGATGGTTTACTCCTCTGTAAGGAACAAGATGTTCTCCGTTTATGTAACGTTAGGTATAGATTCTGTAGACTCCATTCCCCTTACCCTGCAGCGTTCTGTACCTCTCACAGTACTGTCTGCCCAATAAAGACCTTTACCTGTTTTGTACGGCACGGCAAGGCAATCTTTGAGAGTCGTCATCATGCGACACCAACAAAATCAGGGCTTGCCATCATGGGCAGGTTTTCCATTGCAGCTGAAGGATGATATATGGGAATGGTTGCTTTTGCTTCTAGTGGGAGAGCAGAGACCTTGAACGGTTGTTTTTGCTTCTACAAGGCAGGACCACTGCACATTCAATTTCCTGGACCAGAGCATGGCTGATTCCTGGGTCCTCCACTCCAGCCTTCAGTGCCCTGTCTCCCACTGGGCTGGTTAAAGGAAGGTATGGGTTAAGCACCCCTAATCCATAAACCCTGGAATCAAAATGCTCTGAAATCCACAATACTTTGAGAGCCAATATGATACCACAAGTAGAGAACTTCATTTGACCCCATGTGCAAAACACAAGTGCACTGAAGATACTGCCCAAAATGACCCTCAGGCTGTGTCTAAGATATACAGGAAACAAATGAGTTTCATTAGACTTGGGTCCCATCCTGGAGGGGTCTCGTTATGTACATGTAAATATCCCACAATCTGAAATCTGAAACACTTGTCCCAAACATTTCAGTTAAGGGACACTTAACCTGTAGCTTGTTCTGCCAAGTCACACAGCACTCAGACGGGCCTTCCGTGAGATGTTTGCACGTAGCACAGAAAAAGTCTGTGAGCAGGTGTGATAGAGGCAGGATTCAATATTTTTCTTTTCTGTATATTTTCTCACTGTAGCTAATACACATTGTAGAAGTTTAGGGAAAGTAGATGAAGAGGTAGCAATCCCCAAACTGAGGTTCTCTGTATTTCCTTGGCACCTTTTTTTTTTAAAGGATTTGTGTAGCCTCTCTGTTGCAGCCAGTCACCAGGCAGTGACTGGGTTTTAGAGTCCAGGCTAGGTCCAGCTCCTTGATGTGGCCTTGTGCTTCCAAGACATCTGCCTGACCAAGCACTCAAGGTCCACTGATTCCTGGTTCAAACAATGCTGTTTTTGAAGGGAGAAATGTGGTATAGGTCCAGCAAGTTCTTGCACTTAGGTAGTCTTTTTAGGGCCATTTTACTAGCCCATTTGGAAAGATTTTTAAATGTTTGGTGCAGTGATTGACAGTTGTCTCAAAAAAAAAAAAGTCTAGCAATTCACTAATTCAGCTCCTTGCTAAGTGAGTACAGGGCAGGGAGAGTGGTCTGACCTGATTGGTAGATGTGCTTTAAGGGAGAGAATGCTTAGTTCTGAAACGATTCCCTCCACAACCTCCTTCCGTCAGCCTTTCTGAGTTTGTAAACTGTGAGATGCAGCTGGACAGCATGCATCTGTGGCTGACCCTGTACCCAGCCAGCTCTCACAAAAACCACTCCCACCTGTCACACAAGAAAAGTTTATTGAAAAATAAAGTTCTCCCTAGTTTTCTCTACAACAGTGGAAAACAAAGCAGAGCTCTCTATGCCAGTACAGTAACATTTGGACAGTGACACCTTATTTGCAGAATCCTGCACGACTTAACCCCAGAAGTGAACAGTAGAAAACAGTTGTACCAGGATTTGTTTGAAGACACAGATGCTAATGACCATTAGCTAACAACATCAAGGTTGTGACAGCAACTACAGTAGAAGGGATACACCATATCCTTTGGCATCAATTGTTATGCTATGGTCCTGTTAGTACTTGGGCAGGACAGTGAGCAAGATGCATCTCACGTTTGTACCATCTCAGCTTTGGCAGACACAACAGATGAAAGGTTCCTGACCCACCACTGCATCTGAGTGCCCACTACCACTCTCCCTCTCCCACCGATCCTCCATAGTCAGTGACCCTGCCTGCCAAATGGGCACATGCCTTTCCTGCTGTGGGGGTCAGGGAAGGGGTGAGGGACAGTCTTAAGGCGCGGCAGAATCTTGGTTAGAGAGTGAGGCTTTGAAGGAGGTAAATTCCAATCATCGCAACCGTAGAACTGTAAGACTGCCGATCAGCTGAAGAGAAACCAAAGGAATTTGAAAAAGATACCAAACTCCAGAAAATTCCCCCATATTCCATAATCACAATCTATCCAGAGTTGAGTCGACATGGACGGACAGGAGATAAAACCTTACAATTCACCAGGGAAGCAAGAGGCTAAATCCACCCCCCCCCAACTCCCCAAACAAACAGAAAACTGATATTTAAGTGAGTTGGGAAAACATCATTAAACCAAGAGTAGCCTCTGGGGGAATGTTCTGTAAAGGGCCAAAATCTGTGCCCTGGACATCAGGTGGCTTTCCCTGGGGAGGTGGGTTTTCTCTGGGACCAGGCCCTGGAATTAACCTTTATTTGGTGGAAACATGGGGTAACCAGCCTGTTAAGAGCCACCCTGACCAGCAGGGGGCAGCAAAGGGATTTCCTGGGGAATGTATAAATTTCATTGGTCATTCTTTCCTCTTAAATGACACAGGAAAGTCTCCATTATTGCATTGCAGAGGCATAGGATTAACTTTAATTCAAAGTTTACAATCTATCTGAGATCTCCTTTAAATTTCTAACTCAAAAAGTTCTTCAAAGAAAGCCCTGGAATGTTCCAGAAGACATCAGTGGGGTGAGGTCCAGTATGTGGCCAAAGGTCACCTTCACCTTTTTCAATTCCAGTTAATAAAGTCTTGCAGGCTGGTTTCATTGGGAGCTGAAGTCTGGCATATTTTCAAATCAGTGCATTCAGGAATACAGTAAGATTTCAACTATCAGGGTAGGCACAGAACTTGGACAATCTAAACCAGTAATTCCTACAATACTTGGTCAACTTGGAATAATATTTTTATGTAGGTGTTATTTTGAATCAACAGATAGGGAGTGAGCTCTTTATTTCTCAGGCTTTATGAAATGCTAATAACAATATTTTAACATTTACTAGGGCTTACTAGGTGCCAGACACTGTGCTAAAACATTGAATCCTCACAAAACCCTAAGTGCTAAGAAAGCTAGGGTAACTTTTTTCTGCATCCAGGACTATACAGCTAATTTGGTCTTTTGCTATATGTAAAAACTTGGTGTTCCATTTTTTGTTGAAGCCAACAAGAATGAAAGGAACTCACCCTCAGCTTTACAGAACTGTCAGCTTCCTAAATGAGTATGGATCTATTTATGTTCACCCACTTAGTTACATGAAGATGCTCTGCAACCTCATAGGGAAGGATAGGATTTAGAACAAAGCCAATATGGAAATTAAAACATTTTCAAATAAATAAAACAATCCAGGCTTGGGATAGTAACACATACAACATGGCCTGTCGTTAACAAAATCTTTTTTTTTTCTTTTAATCAAGAATTTTTGAAGCCGGGTACAGCGGTACATGCCTGTAATCCCAGCTACTTGGGAGGTTGAGGCAGGAAGATCACCAAGTTCAAGGCCAGCCTGGGCAACTTAGCGAGACCCTGTCTCAAAAAATAATTAAAAAGGGATGGGGGGAACCGGGGATGTAGCTCAGTGGTAGAGCACTTGCCTAGCAAGGTTCTAGGTCAATCCCCAGTATTTAATTTAAAAAAAAAATTGAGGGGGGCATAGGAGAAGGTAGCGGTGTCTAACTATATACAGTCTAGGTAAACCACCTTGGTCTGATCTAAAAAGCACACACCCACCTATAAACTACAGCTTCAGTCAAATCCATTTCATTGACACTTGCACTTCCAGTGAATTATACTGCAGCTGTACTCCCAAAGGAGTAATTATTCATCTTCATTAAATCCTGCATTCATTCATCCACCAAGGAAATAAAAAAGAGGGGCACAGAGTCTTCCCCTTTCGTGATACTAACCAGCCCAAGTATTACGGGGCTACTGCTTCCGATGAGTTCAATGCAGTCCCTCCCTGGGCTGGCCTCCTGCCTCAGCCACATCTCAGCAAGTGACAGGGTAGCAGGCAGCTTGGTAACTAGCAGTCCCAAGACAGACCCACACTGTGGCCCAGTCTGAGGAAGCCAGCCCTTCCCCTAGACTTCTCATGATTTCATACCCTCCTCGGGGGGTGAATGTGCCTGATACACAGACTGTGGCCTAGGGGCCATTTCTGGTGCCCAGCCGGAACATCTGTAGTCACTCAAGGACCTAACACTCCTCAACAGCACCCAGATTCCAAAAACCAACCCCAAAGAAAAGTGAAAAGGCACAGCAGGAAAATAAACATCACCAAGAGACAGACTCTAACATTCCAAACACACAGCAAACACAAAAAGTAAACTGTAATAAGCACTGACAAAAACCCAATCAAAGCAAAAATGCAAAAAGCATCTCCATTTGTACATGTGCAAATCAAATTGCATACACAAAATAAATGAGGTGTTTACTGGCATTCAAAGAAGTGTGTTTTCCCTTTCCGGAGTGTTTACTCTGGAAAGTATTTACCTTACAAAGGAAAGCTTTCTCTTAATAAATTAGATGTTTTTCCCTTAAGTTTTTGTCTCAAGATCACAATGGGAAAAATAATTCTAAAGGCCAGGCAAGATATGATTATAGCACAGGAAAACATCAATCCTGATTTCGGATCTCTCTCCCTGTGGATTGGTTATCAATTACAAATCAGTTTAGGTTTCTATATAAAAATAGCAATGGTAAAACTGCTGCAGGCGCCCAGCCCACACTATCAGAGGCACCATCCTTTTTCTTCTTCACACCCCACACTGGGCCAATGGAAGCCCCTCCCCAGTTTCCCCTGGAGAACCAAACTTGGAACAAGTCATAGGAGGTCTCGGGGCTGGTACACATTCAGGTGTCACCAACTCCATCAACAATGCCCTTAACAACAGGAGTGTGGGTTACTTTGCCCCAAGAGCAGCAGCCCCAGCCAGGGAACTTAGGTTTACTTCCAGCTGAGACTAGACTTAGGAAGTTAGAGGAATTTTTAAATGGGAGAAAGTACTCTTCTGGGCTGCCTGATAAGAGGATCAGAAAGGTGAAGAGACCCCCCCCCCCCCCGAGTCCAGGGACAGATAGGGAGTGATGCTTGAAGCTTCTGCCAGGGACAATGTTGCTTTACAAGGTTTTCTGCTTTCTGAACTCCCAGGCTTCTTGAAACAGTTGTCTGCTAAGTAGGTTGACACAGCCCTGCCTGGGAAAGCAAGCTCAGCCTGCAGGCGCCCCCTGCTGGTGGGATTCCCACACGGTCATCAGCAGCCTGGGAAATTCCCTGAAGAGCCCAGGAGAGGGCGGAGCTGGCCTAGGAATAACAGGTGTGGTAACCCAAGCAAACTCCCACTTGCTAGGGAGCAGCCAAGAGGCCCACTCACAGGGAAAATGTCCTTCCTCAAGAGTGAGGATGCCAGTTCTTCCCCTTCCTACTGCAGAAACTGCCATTTCAAACTTAAAACCCGTGCACTAGCTACCATAACAAACTGGGTTTTATCTGGACTTCCACCCGTGGTGCTGGGCCCAGGAAAAGGCTATTTCCAGCAAGTCCCCTGCATCAGTGCTCTAGGCAGAGGTGTTCCCACTGGTAGTTTCCCTGGCAGATGTGCTCAGGGAACACCTGAAGGGTGGAGACCTTGGCTGCCCCTCCCCACTCTCTCTCTGTCTCTGGAACTGGAGGTGAAATTCAGATCTACTGAGCAGTGATCTGAGGGGCTAAGGGGGGAAAAAAAAAAAAAAAGGTTGGCTGTGCAGTTGTTATTTATGCACCATGGTAGAAACTGAGAAGCAGGCAGTTCAATTTTCCAGATGTAGAGGTTCTCTGCTCCCCACAAAGCAGAATTTTTCCCTTCCCTCATTTCCTGAAGGCCTACTCCATCATTAGCCTCGCCCAGCTGTTCTACCTGGCAGAGGCTCCACCTGGCTGCACCCCCACAGGCAGGGTGCTAGGAAACGGTCTCTGGTGTGGACTGCAGGCTGTTCAGTACACCAAACCACCATCCAGAGCTGAGTGGACGATGCTGGCAGCTCCTACACAGAAGAAGATGACGGCTCACTCTCATAGGAATGGTGGAGGTGTCAGGGGCCTCATGAGAAACCCATAAACATTTGCAGAGCATGGAAGCAGTGCTTCAGCGGATATGGGAACTTACAAAAAAACAGAGCACAGGGCTCCAGGGTGTGTGGAAGGTGGGTGCAACATGTCTGCCCAGCCTGCTGGTGAGCTCATTCAGTGGGGTTGCTCAGCCCTCTCAGAACAACTCTGCCTGGAGTAAAGTCTGCCCAACGCTTTCGCCCTTTGCAAGTGACACCAATGGGAGAGTGGTCAGGGCAGTGCAGGGCACTCATCCTGAGCTGTTCCTGCTCTCCCAGCAAACATCAAATGTTCACTGAAAGCCCCATTCCCTGGACTTTGGTGATATCAGACTTCAGAAGGAATATAACACCAGAACACCTGTGAGGTGTTCTTCGATAGTTCCACTAATCTTAAGAACCGAATTCATTCCTTTCTGAAGCTCAGCTGTCTGAAAGCTAGAAGGCCATCCCTCCAAGTCCAAAGGTAGTTCTCTGAGTCCCACACCTCTACTCTCCTTATAGTAGCGTATCAGAGAGGGCCAAGTTACCATAAATTAGCTAACAAAAAATTCTACAATCCTGCATTTCTTTTCTAAGGACATTCTAGCCCAATTAGGGCCAAGGTGGGTGGGTTGGTGGGAACACACAGGAAAGGGTCTCTCTCGACTATAAAGCAGACGTCCCTGGCTGACTTCTGTCCATGACTGGGTTCTCTGGACATGACAGCCACGTCCCCCCTACCAAAGGGGTTAACTGTCTTTTAGCTGCCATTTGCCAAGTACACACAGGATGCCTCCACTTGATGACAATGCCCTGGACAGTTTGCCTGTGTTTCCAAAGCAAGAGTTTCTTTTGCTCTGCTGCCACCTGCTTCCAGAAGTCAGGTCCCCATAGCTGCCCTTGAGCACACCATTGGCCCCACTGTACCTGCCTGAGGCAGACAGAAGGAACAGCAGTATCGAGAATGACTAACAGTGGGAAATAAAAGAAGAAAGGTGTGATCGATCCCATTCCTCCCTCCCTGTCCCCCTCCCTCCCTCCCAAATAAATAAGTTAATGGGTTTAGGAATGTTCCCAAAGTTCTTTCTAATCAGCTCATTTCTCCTCTTTTGTTTTAAATGAATCACGAGATTTTTTTTTCCCCCACCCTGGAGCACCTGCATTGACAATCTCCCTACAGCTGCTCCTCACAAAATAGGAAGGATGTTCCTTGTACAAGAAGCCAGGCTCCTTGCCTCACAACTGCTCTTGTGTTTGTTTTGGCGAAAACTCCCTGGGGGAGGCGTTAACCTCAGCAGGAGCAATCCCCAATCCAAACCTTAGACCAAAAAAGTTCAGGCTCTGGCCAGAGTCCCTGAATGATTTCTGCCCCCCGTCTCTGCCCAGTGGAGCCACCATCTTCCCCAGCAGACTTCATGTGGGGCTAAGCTGGCAGCTGCTATAGGCAGTCTTTACAGAGGGCCACTTGGCCCTTGATGAAGTCCCGGCAGGGGCAGATCCTCCGGTGCCTGGGGTGGGCGCCTGCACAGCTGAAGAGCAGCAGGTCCCCTTGAAACACACAGTGCTTGCTCTTGGGGTCATAGGAGGGCTCCAGGATGTCCTTGGCCAGCTCTGAGCTTTGGCAGATCACTTCATACCTGAAGAGGAAGAGAAAAGCATATGGGTTGGAAATGCAGGGGACAGAGCTCATCTCTGTCACTGGCCACATTGGCCCACTTGCTGAGGTGTGGGAGACACATTCAGTTCTCCTGCTGCAGAAATGAAATGGTGCCCCTCTGAGTCTGCAATTCTTCACCTCTAGGAACTTCAGCTCTGGAAAGACAGGTGTGCCTGGGTGTACACGCAGGGGGGTGTCTTTGAGGATGCTCTGTAGTAGAGGAAAACTGGAACCAACTGTCTTTTCACCAAGTAGGGAATCGCCAAATAAACCATGGCCATCCTGTGCCTGTGGAATTCCACACAGAACTCCAAACATGAAAAGTGTGCCCCAGCATGAGAGCTGTCCCAGAGGAGGGCAGATTATGAAATAGGACGTACAATGTGGTCAACCTGGTGTGTTGTGTGACTATCCAAGCCAAGATGGCTGCACACGAAAGTGTCGGCGGCGAGCAGAGGAACGGCACTGGGGCTAAGTGCTGGGTTTTTAAAGTATTTTTTTGATTAAATGTTTAAAAAGATTCCCGTGATATGGCCTTAGTTTCCACTGGTGAGCAATTGGGTGCTCTCCCAGGGACTTCCTGCCCAGTATCTTGGAGGGTCACATGACCCTTCAATACAGCAGATCGTAATCCGGGCTACAGAAGAAGGAGCCAAGGCTTCAGGATGTGCAGAGCCAGTGAGCCAGGCCCTGCTCCCGAGGCTTGCGCTCTTCGCCATCTTCTCCCCACAGCAGAGTTGTCTGAGGGGCTGCAAAGGATATTCTGGGGTTTTTTTTTTTTTTTTGGTTGTTGTTTGTTTCTAAAGGCACTGGCCACCTATCTCCAAGGGCTTTCCCTCTCACCTGGGATGCACTGGTTCACCCCACCATGGCTTCTCCAGGACAACAAGGCTTAATTAGCCTGGTGCCCTGTGTGGAAGCCAGTTAGGACCTGGTGCTGCACTCAAGTTCCAGAAACAAGGTGTAGGGGGCCGGGCAGACCTGGGTTTCAGTTCCTGGCTTTGTCTCTTAAGAGCTGTGTAATCCCGGACAAAGGATTGAGTCTCTGTGTGGCTCAGTGTTTTCTTCTGTAAAATGGGATAAATAATCCTTAACTGCAGGAATCAGAGTGGCGTTTCTAGAGCACTTGGCGGAATCTGTTTCTGAGTGTGGTCCATAAATATTAGCTACTACTATTATTACTGCCATTGCCATCACGACCCTGCAGGCCCTGGGTGGGTCATGTCACCTTCCTCCCTTTGCAGATGGCATGAGTCTACACACACCAGCCATTTCCATTGCTTTGTTCACAGAAGTCTCACTTCTTGCTGGGAGGGAGGGAGATTAGAACAGTGAACTTGAGATTTCCCCCTACCTCTGGGAGGCTTCCAGGTGGCAGGGAGAAGCACCACCCTCCTTCTTTCTCCAGCCAACCAGTGGCCTGGGCCCTGCCTCCTTTGGCCAGTGTTTATCTGGCGATTACCAGCACATCTGCTGAGGCTCCTGGGGCACTCTTCCAGGCTGCCAGACTGGCTCCTGCTCAGTCAAGGCTGAAGCCCCACTGCTCCAGGAACCAGCACTCCCTGGGGCTCTGGCTTCCCTGACACATGCCAACTGGACCCAGCTCCGAAGCCTGCTCCGGAGGCCAACACCCTTCTTGACTTGTCCCTGCAGTCACCAGGGGTGTTGTACACTTTCTCAAGTGCCCTAACATCCCTGGCCTTGGTGCCACCTGGGAGATAGTGATGAACTGGGAAGAAGGCTAAAGTGAGCATTTCATGGATTTCCTGAAAGGAAAAAAGAGTCAGAGACCATGTCCTTGTCAGTGTACCAAACTGGCCATCAGAGAGAGGGGCATCTGGAGCTGAGCTGGGAATGAAAAGTTCACATGTGGTGAGAAAGAACATGTAGCATTTCTCTTTCAAGGTCTCACTTATGTCACTTAATGTCTTCCAGTTCCAACCATTTTGCTTCAAGTGACAAGACTTCAGTTTTTAATGACTCAGTAATGTTCCATCGTGATTATGTGCCACATTTTCTTTATCCATTCATTTGTTGAGCACCTGGGTTGTTTCCTTCCAGTTTTGGCTATTGTGAATGGTGCTACAATAAACAGATATGTGTGTCTCTCTTTGGGAAAAAAAAAACAAAAAACTCGCATGTAGAATGTGGCTTTGGGACACAGATTTATGTTTATGCTACTTATTTGTGTGGGTGGATTACAGTAGCTGCTGTGACCTCATTCACACCAGCTGCCTGGAATGTGACTACCAGGAGTATGCAAATCTCTACCACCACTCCCAGACCCTGTGGTGGGGGCGGAATTGCTGGAGCCATGAAAAGCCTTCCTATGCCCTCCCAGGTCACCTGTCCCCAGGCGCCTGTGCAGTCTGCTCCTGTGCGTGTACTTGTGAGTGCACACCTGTGAATGGGTCTCAACTGAGGCTGTAGCAGGTGACACCTGCTGGGGAGAAGCAGAGACTACCACCAAGGGCTCCAGCAACTGTCACTTCCTGGGGCCACAGTGAAGGCACACTTCAGGCAGCTCCCCAAAGGTTCACTGATATGTGTTGGGGGCATGTATGACCCTACCCCCCTCTTGAACACCTCCTAACCCCAGGTCTGAGCATCTCCAGGGGGGCCCTCCCTTTTGTGGGTGTGCAGGTACCTGTCCTGCAGCCCTGGGCAAGCAAAAAGGCTACTCCATCATCCTTGTGTAACTAGTGAGCAAAAGTCACCAGAGAGGTACCTCACTGGATTAGACAGCCTCCCTAGTCCAGGGGTCCTCAGTCCCTAAGAGATCCCCGACCTTTTCAGAGTACACACAGGGCTGCATGTGCCTCTCTGTCCTGGTGATGTCTATCTTGCTCAGATACACACACCCTTCTTCTCAGAGACTCCAAGCACCGTATGTGTGTCCCATCCTCCCATCCTCTCTCCCACAGTACCACCTTCTCTCGGACTGGCCCATGATACTTTTCTTACAGGTTGAGTTTGGGAGTTTCTGGGACCCCTCAGCACTCAGTGCACAATTTTTGGCTCTTGAAGAAGAATAAGAGAGCAAATTCTCCTCCCATGGGGCTGCCACCTTCTCCTTACCACAGGAGTTAGGTAGGCTAGGAACCCCAGCACTAGGTGGAGGATGGAAGGTACCGGCCCCTCCAGGACAGGACACAAGCCTGTCCTATCTCCTGCTCCTGTTCCTCTCACTGGTCCCTGCCCCAGAGTGCCTGCCTTCTCTCCAAGACCTGGTAACCACTCTGATTCAGGGCCATCTCCTTTCTTGGTGCCAAGGCACACGCAGTCTAGACTTCACAGCTCAGAAGACCTGAAGGGCCAACCCAGATGCACCTCTGCTTCAGACAGTGTTATGCCTCCATCTATCCATCCTATGCTGAAAATATATCAAAACATGCACTGAATACCCAACCTACTGACCACACCAGCTTAGCCACACAGCACCTTGTGGAGCAGGTGGTTCCCTCTGGTGACCGTGTGGCTGACTGGAGTCTCAGCTTAATCCCAGGGCCCAACATCGTGAGACAGTATTAAACCACCTACACAAAGCCTGGAAAAAGATCCAAATTCAAATCTGGAGCACAGTTTCTGCTGAACATCCATACCCTCACACCAACCTATAGTCAAAAAAATTGTAAGCCGTACCATCTTATGTTAGGGGTCACCTGAAATTTAAAATTTTGGAAGATACACCTTTAAGGGGTAGCTAAGGGCTGGGGATGTGGCTCAGCAGTAGAATACTTGCTTAGCATGTGTGAGGCCCTGGGTTTAATCCCCAGAAAAATAGAGGTAACCAAAATATAAAGTGGGCTTCATATTAACACATGTTCCTTTTTATGGAGCTCAGTCCTCCCCACTGGGCCATGCTGGAATGATCTCTGGCACTTCAGGGGCTTTTTGCCTTCTGGATCCTTCTACTCCTGATCTAGGTGAAATCTTGCCCAGAGGAGGAATCACAAATGCTCCGAGGTGGTCTCTCTAGCATTTAACCGTTCCCTGCACATATAGGAATTCAAAGACCCTTGGCCTGCTCCTCCCTGATTCAAGATGGCCACATGGATGCTCCAAAGGACGTGATTTATGTAATCTGTTAAATTCATACTATACAGCGAGGACAGGTGGCTCATAAAGGTTGTGGACACCCCAAGACAGAAAAAAGCTTAAGCTCAGCTTAGAACCAAGTCCCAAGTTGGAGAAGCAAAGGCAGCCCTAGCTCTCGTGGAGCTGCTAATTGCTAATTGGCCATGAATATGGATGGGCCAGGATTACCTCCAGGCTGAGGAGGCACTCAATAGACTGCCAGATAGCTGGGGTTTTTTACAACATTATCTGTATTTACAAATGCATGAACAAGTTATTCAGTAGGGCTCTTATGTTCACAGAATTAATTTTAGACGGCTTTATTATGAAATTACCATTCATTCCAGCCTCCTGGTAAGAAAACCCAAATATCCACTGTCGGGAGGGGTGGAGGAGAGAGCGATCGCCTGGCACAGGGTCTGACTGCAGGACTGTCCCACACCATGCCCCTCTCTACTCTGTGGATCTGCGCGAGGCATGAAGGAGGAGGAAAAGGCGGCAGTCTGGCCAGGAAATTGGTGTTTGAACTCTATCGCCTAGAACTGCCTAGAAGGAGGGGCCATTCTGTTCTTTAGCAAGAGCTATCCATTATCATCCTGTTGTCACCCAGGATGTCCCCATTCTACAGCTGAGAAACTGATGGAACAGAGGGCACTGGCCCCTTTCCCAGCAGTTGGTTGCCCTTTTTCTGTTCCCATTGACCCAGACCCTTGTCCTGGAGACAGGCCACCTGCGTGGGCTCCAGGCTAGTTCTGAGCCAGATCTCAGTCACTGTACGGAGACTAATTGCCGTGACTCCCTCCCAGGCTTGGAGGGAAGACCCACTGCTCAGGAGTCCCATGCAGGTCTCATTCCCAGGAGGTACCTTCTTGTCCTCCCTTTTCCAGAAGGGGCTACATACAGGCAGAACTAGGAGTACAGTGCCACATCTGTACCAAGCAATTTCAGAATTCCAATACAGTGCTCAGGGTTCTCAAAAAGCCATCTTGCCCTGGGAGATATCTGCAAACGGAGCCAGTGGAAAGCCGACCCCAGAATTCAACATCTCTGCTGTGGAGTTGGACGTTCCGTGTCAAAGCCAGCCCTCTTAGGAAGCTCCCTCCCCCCCTTCTTCTGGCCTGTGCTTTTATGTTGATGGTGTAATCAAGGTAGCCTCTGGTTACCCCATAAAAAGCCTGGTTCCCCTATAAAAAGAAAAAACAGCATCCCTCACAGCCCTGCTCAGGAGAGCATCCCTACCAGTGATGCTGGAGACCATGCATTCCAAAGGGAGTTTTATACCATGTTTCAGGATAGCAAGACTCACAGGAGGGAGCAGGCCAGCTCAGACCACCATGAACAATAACCACAGTGGCCGGGTATGAAGCCAGAATGGGGGATAGCTGAGTCCTGATCCCCAAGACCACTCTATTCCTGAAACATCTCCTTCAGGACTAGGACAGCACAACCATTGGACTGAATCTTCACAGTTAAGACAGCAGTCCTTATTGTTTATAGGCATGTATCTTGGAGAAAATCCCTTATCAGGGAAATTAAGGTGGGAGACTAGATGGTGGACCGAGGGTGGGGAGTGATAAAATTTAGGAGAGCAGAATTCGTACTGAGAGGGATCAGGAGGCAGAAGGCAGAAGAAACCTCATGTGGAAATCTTGGAACTGTAGATGTCAAACTCAAATGCTGATGCAAAGGGAAAGGAATGGCATCACTAAACAAACTGCAAGTATGAGGCAAGATATTCCAGGAACATAAAGGCCCCCCCAGATACAGCCCTGGCCAACATTCCCGGGCCTGCCTCTGTGTGCTGGGGAGGGACCCAGCAGTCAGGTCTGCTGAGGCCTGATGCATGATGCACCAAAGGTTCCCGAGGAAAGTTGGAGAGGGGAGGGGACCAGAAGAGGGGAAGGTGGCACTTGGAATCTGTTGTGGGCAATTTTGTGCCAGCTGCTTCTCCCCATTTCTCATTCCTTTCTGATTCCAAAGTTGAAGATGCCACCTCCTTCCTATCCTGCTCAGACTCTGCCGGGGGCCATCTAGGGATCTGGCTGCTGCCAGAGGTCTCAGGGGTGGGTCCATCCATGGCTATGATTCTGTGCTACCTCCACTCCCTGTTCATGGGCATGGCATTAGCAAAACCAACATCTCCCATGATCTCCAAGGCCAGATGTGGCATTATTTATGCAAATACAAGGCCCCTACTCAGATCCCAAGTATACCAGGTGACTTCATCTTACTGAACACTGAAAATGTGGGGGTCCAGCTGCAAACTGCTGCCTTTACCCCCTATCTTTCCCCTAAAGCCCACAGCCTGGAAACTGAGAATGAGCACCTCTCAATCTGACTCTAACCCAGAAAGCTCACAGAGGCTGAGTTGACCCCCTTCTGTTCTCTCTCCCCATCCCAAGGCACTTACTTCAGTAGGTCCTTGTCCTTGTTGAGGTGCTGGAAGAATGATGGCTCACAGATAAGCTGGTTCTCCTGGCACACCTGCTTGCAGGACTGCCCAGGCTCAGCAAGCTTCACTTGTAGGGCACTGAGGGGCGGCCACATCACCTGCCCGTGACAGAAGTCCTAAAAATGAAAACACAGCCATCAGCCAAGGGACCAAGGATGCAACTGGGCATCTCCACCTCTGCCAAGCCATCTGGAAGATGAGAGGGACCCACCATGCTGTGAAAGAAGAGTGAACAGGAGAGTTGGGAGCCAGTTGGACACACCCTGAGCCAGGTCTTGATTTGTCTCATTACCAGCTTCCTCAACCACAAAGGGGGACAACAGCAGCATCTCCCATGCAGGGCTGAGGGGCGAGAGGTGACATCTGCAGTGCACACAGCACCTACTGTGGTTTGAACATGAGGTGTCCCCTAAAAGCTCCTGTGTTAGTGAAGGAATATTCAGAGGCAAAATGATTCCTTTATGAGAACTGTAACATCGGTCTGTCCTAATTTGGATGGGTGGCAACTGTAGGCAGGTGGGCATGGCTGGAGGAGGTGGGTCGCTGTGGGTGTGTCCTGGAAGGGTACATCTTCCCTGCTGCCCCTAATCCTTTCTCTCTCTGCTTCCCAGCCACTACAAGATGAGCCCCTTTCCTCTACCACTGCCCTTCAGCCATGCTGTTTGGCCTCACCTCAGGCCCAAAGCAATGGAGTTAGCCAACCATGGACTCTGAAACCATGAGCCCCAAATAAACCCTTCTTCCTCTAAGTTCTTTTTTTTAGGCATTTTGGTCACAATGACAAAAAAGCTTACTAACACAGTAACACACTGGCCCACAGGGGTGGCTATTCACTATCATCACATCAGTAATGCCCCAAGGGCTATCACAATCTGCCCTTGAAGGCACAGCCTCACCCACCTGCACCAGCTGGCCAGTTCCCAAGACTTGGTAAGGATATACCGAAATTTTGCAGCTACCTAGTATGACCTTGTTTTAACTCAATGACAAAATGCTGAGGCTGTGAGGTGGAGGACGCCACCAAGGACCCATAGGCATCCGGAGCATCACCTGACACAGTCCAACATCGTTGCCAGGGACTCTCTGCTTATTGGTTGAAAATAGTGACTACTATGTCATAGGAACTCGACAAGTAGAGACATATGTGAAGGACACGGTGCCCCTAACAACAGGGTCATATGGGGGCAAAGCCAGTCTCTCTGGGATGTAGAGTGAGGAAGCAGCACGCTGGAGGGAGATGCAGGGGTGAGGGCATCATGAATGATGAGAAGCTGGGGAAGGGAGGGGCAGCCACTCTCTGACCTGGGACCTCCTGTCAGCTGTGCCCAAAGCAATCTTATGTAAGCACCAGTGCTGGGATGCATGACCCTGGTGCCCAGAGCTGGCTCTGCTTGCCCATACTGAATGGACCCAAGGCAGAATGGCTTCAAGTCCCCAGATGACCCGACCTGCTGAAGATGCTACCTGTACAGGAGCACAGAGGACCTGTGTATGATACTCCCTCAGGGAAGGGCCAGTCCTCAGGAGTGATGATTAGAATGCTGGGTGCATGGGTGCCTTCTGATAATGCACCCCACAGAAAGAGGGGACACATGCAAAGAAACCGTCTGAAACAGCACAGCAGCACTGGAAAGATGAAGCAAAGGGCTCCATATCATCCAAAGGTTGTATTTACACAGACACCTACTTAAAGAAAAATAATACACCAAATGAGGAGGTTTCCATGCACTGACGTAAGAACATCTCTGAGGCATGCTGAGCAGTGAGAGGAACCAGGTAAAGGGGGCTCCCAGTGTGTTTCCATCTGTGGCAGGCGCTGGGCGGGGGGGGGGGGGCAGGCACAGACATACAGAAACGTGTGTGTGCTATTCCAAGAACACCTCCTGCTGGTCATGCTGCTCGCTGAGAAGGGAAACGCAGGACTAGGCCTCAGGAGATTCACTTTGCAATGTGTGTCCTTCTGGAAGACTGTACTTTTCCTCAGGTTTCCTTTCCCGCTTTGGTGTGGATGAGGAAATTAGTCATCTCACTGCCCAGAGCTCCTGGCACTGGGTAACACAGAGGAAACGTTCTGTCCCACCCTTGTTTGTTGCAGAGTGTTGCATGAGGGACCTCCTACTGCCCGGCAGGTCCTCTAGCAACGTGAAGGGTGCGGCTCCCCAACAAACTGCATCCAACAGGGGCCTCTGGCACTTCTTGTGTGTGAGTGTTTTTATTTTTTATTTTTTTTAAACCTTGTGCCTGTATTACTTTTTTAATGAGTAAGCCAAGACACAGCAAAGAAAGCAAAGAAACCTTGCTCCTCCCCGATTCTGCAGCCAGCAGCCAGCGAGGTCCACCCTGCCTCTCCTGTTTACTAGCTATGTGAATCTTTGGGCAAAAATACTTAATGTTTGGAGTTTCAGTTTCTTCCTCAGAAAAACGGAGATAAAGATAGTGATGATTCCCTGTGCTGCTGGCTTCTCTTTGCCTCCTTCTTAAAGGAGGTTAAGCTGCTGAGAAAGGCAGCCTGCAGGTGGCAAGCCCCTGGCAGGACCCTCTCTTTCAGTCTCTACAAAGGACTGCATCAGGCAGGCCCACATCACTCTCCCCTGATGAGGGAACTTGACTCCACCAGTCTGAATTTGTGGCGAAAGAACAGAAACGCTTCGCCCAACACTGGGCAGAAAACCTAGAGCTGGATTCCTAGCAACAGAAAGCACAAGACTCCAGAATGGTCTAATAATTCAGAGATAGGGAGAAATACACTGGATTACTTAGGAATGTTGAGATGCAGCCTAATCTTCTGAAAGTGAGGCACGGTGGCAGGTAAGCAGGGTGTCCTGAGACCTACACAGCCCTGGGCATCACTAGGCAGGGAGACACATCTGACTTCTCACATTCACAGTGCTTCTGAGTACAGTCTAAGCCCTTGTTCAGCCAAGGGCAGCAGAGTAATGTGGGCCTGGACACTGTCACTAAGGGTGACAGCATGACAGCACAGACCCGTTATCCAAATGGGACACTGTGCACTGATGGCCACTGCTCTTTCATATGACAGCATGGGGAAGCCTTGCATTTTATACCCTGTCCATTCCACCAGGATGACCATCATCAGATAGGAAGAACGAACACACACACAATGACCTGGAGTTATTGGTTATGAGAAATGAGAGCTGCAGGGGCATTTGGAAGATGTCCAGGTCGACATTACTGTGCTGTTCACGGCTGTGCAAGAGCTTAGATTGTACTTAAAAGCACTGTAAACATGAGAAGTCAGATGGGTCTCCCTGCCTAGTGGTGCCCAGGGCTGTGTGGGTCTCAGGACACTCCGTTCACCTGCCACCAATGTGGTTTGCCTGGCTGGCTAATGTAAGCATCTTTGCTTACAGTTCCTTAGGAACAAATGGATAAGTTCAACAGCTTTTAACTATAATAATAAAGAGATGTGAAATCCAGCACACTCCAAAGTCTACAGGACAGGCAAACAACCAGCAAACTGACATCAGACCATACCTGCCTCAGATGAAGCCAAGTGGGACTCTCTTTTTGAATAGGCCCATCTGTTAAAACCTGATCTCTGGTATAGCACTACTGGGAGGGGCTGGATCATGTAGGAGCTGGGACCTAGTGAGAAGTCCTAAGGTAACTGGGAGTATGACCTGAAGGTGATATTAATAATCTGGCCCCATCTTGTCTCTCTTTGCTTCCTGACCATGAGGTAAGAGGTTTTGCTTGGCTTTTGTGTATGTGTATGTATGTGGCATGAAGTAGTGACACAGTCCCAAAGCAATGGGACCAATCAATCATGGACAGAAACCTCTGAAACTATGAGCCCAAGGAAACCTTTTTGATTTGTAAGTTGATTTTTTGCAGGTATTTGTTATAGTAACAGCAAGCTAACTAACACACCTGGATTAGGCTGGGTGATAAAAATCCATGAAGGCTAAAGTGGAGCCTGGATTTTATGGCTTCTAAGAAAACTGACATCTCTCTCCATGAGCACCTCAGAGCTGAGGAGAGCTTCTCCGCACCTCTTGAGTAGGAGGAAGATTAAGAAACTTTCTTTCTTATTCATTCTCAGCCTGTACAAGGCCAGAACTAAAGTTAGAACACAGATCCCGCTGTGTTGGAGAGGAGGTGATGTGGCAAAGGACTGGATGGACAAAATTTGAGGCCCTATCACGTGGCACATTACGCAGCAGGTCTGACCTCCATTAGAATGATGCTAACAGGGTGTGAGAATGGCGGCAAATGTCAGATGCTCCACGAACACTTGTCTCCATCCTTGGGCTCCTCCTGGGAAGAGCTGCCTCCACCCTGTGCAGCTTTCAGGCCCACCTCATTGGAGAAACAGACTAGGCAGCCCCAGATAAATAGATGTCCCGTACCTGGTCTAGACGAGGGCAGGGCAGGGCTGTGAGGTCTGGCAATGGGAGTTGGCCTTAAAGCTACACTGTGGGCTTCCTGCTTCTTCATCAACCTCAGCAGCCACCCTTCTTGAGTCCCTGGCAACAGGCCTGCTCAGCTCACTTCTGCACGGCAGCGCGGGGGCTCCAGGCACCTTGCTGCTGCTCACCAGGAAGACTGTCTGGCGTTCTCCCAGGAGGCCCAGAAGATCAGGAATAGTAAAAATAGCAGCAGGACCTTCTTAAAGCTTGGGGAACCATCTGGAAAGCCTGAAGGTGATAAGATGGAACAGAGGGAGCCTGAAGGTGTTCTCAGAAAGCACACCAGGCGTAAGGTATGAGGGACCTGGGGGCTTGGGCTGAGATCCTCGGGGTGCTATATAGTCTCCCAAGCTTTCTCTGCCTGTCCTCTCACATAAAACTGGGATGGTACCCATCTGTCCTTCATCCCCAGATAATTCCTGTGGAATGGAAGTGAGAGGACTAAGGAGAAGGTCCCTGAGATGTTAAAGGTAATGCTCTAGGCTGGACCATTCTAAATAGTCAAGCAGAATTAGTAGAAATTTGGTGACTAGTTGAAATAATTGTTAGAGAGGCATGCAGATGGAGTGTGTTCTAGATATACACGGATATACACAGCAATTTCCAATCTGGTTAACAAGCCCCCGGGGAGAAGCACTGGGCCAGAAGCCTCTAGACCATTGCTGCCCTGATCCAGAGGCTGAGGC